CATCATTCAACCCACCAAGACATAATAAGATTTAGGAAATTTTAGATTATCATACCACTTTGCCAACTAGGTTATCAATATCCCCCCTTCCTCCACTGGAGGAAAAAAGGATATTGAGTGTCATGATTAACTTCTCTATTATTTTCCTCTCTCTTTCTGGGGCTATCTTATTTATAGTTTAATCGATCAATCATATCGTTACAAATGTGGCCATATTATTGGTTGCTTTTGATGATTATGATACCCCCACATTCAGCTGTGAGGTATTTTTTTACTTTGTTTTTTATCCGATTTGTGCCATTTCCTATGTTTCTTTTGATCAAGCATGTGCCTTTCCCAATTGTGTCTGTCATTATAAATTCCAATTTCCAATTCATCGGCATTTCATCTTCGCTTGGGCTTTTTCTGTATATTAAAGCTATATCTCCTATTTTGAGCCGTTCCTTTATTTCTACCATTCCCTTTACGGGTAACTTCTTATACTTTCAAAGTTATAATATCTCCATCTTATAATCTTTGTTTATCCACTTAAAGCATGAAGGTTGCTAACTTTTTATCATCCAGGGTTCTATCTGCCTCAAAATCTTATTATATATGGGCAAGTCCCCATTGCTAGATTGTAAAATGAATTTGGTGCCAATGTTGCTTTTCGTAGTAGTAAGCCATCTCTTTTCGCCGTAACCAGACAACTTTCATGGAATGATTCTTTACTTCTGGATTGTTTTTTCAACTGCTCCTGTTGTTTGATGGTGATATGGGATCAAATTTCTATTTTAAATTACGAGCGTCCTTCAATGGCAGAACCTCTTTGTTTTCAATTTCTGAGCCGTAATTATACAAAATTTGCTCTGATTTTTCGTTCTTTTTGATAATGAAATCTTTTACTGTCTTGTAAACGTCTTTTGCTAATTTTAATATCAGATAAGGGTCTTCTAAGGGAATTTGCCTACATTTGAAAAAATTAGGAAGAGTAAAAATAAAATAAAATTATTGTCATCTAAGAAAGCTTCTCCGGCACCAAAACTCAAAATCAAATAATCAGTGACACACACTAGCATACCACTAGGGCCTTGCTTGTAGGAAGATAGGGAACCCCGTAGGATTAGTTAAAATCCATTAGTCATA